GAAGAATGAACGAGGAAAGAAGCTGGGGTGTACAGGCAGGTGCTTGTCAGCCTTAGAACTGACTCACTCTCTCTAGTCAGAGGCTTACTAAGTCAACGGACCAAAGGAGAGTAATGTCCTATGTCATTTGAATGCTTGCTCCAAGTGCTCTGCTGAGTACATTCACTGGGCCAACCCTTTGCTTGGTGCAACAGAGACGCGACTGCCGTTGATGGAAGCGCACGTGTGACCAACAGCCTGGAGCAAGCCGTGTCGCCATTCCAAGCAGCGTCTGTAACTCTCCAAACCTGAATTCTCCTGTTCTTACCCATTTCATTTCTGTGAGATGCATCGACCTATTGGACGCGAAAGACTTGGTATCTAATTGATCAGTTTAACTGCAGCCTGGTCTGCATTTCATCATCCCAACAGCCCTGGTTGCTCAGAGTGGCAGAGGGAATCCACGAAAGTTTCCTCAACGAGCTAATGAGTATAAATGAAAGCATTGCAGAACAGGATATTAACACATTGTCAATAGATCTGTGGCTCTATTTGGCAATCACGTGCAAGAACAGCATACTGCTCCCAGGTATCCGTATGGACTGTACAGTACAGTCATTCACTACACTAGTACAATCCATAGTTGATATGGCCTGCATGCTGAATCACTGAGAGCATTTCAGCTAACAGCATCTGCAATGACGTGAAGCACAGTCCAACCTAAATCAAGACCATATGTCTCTCTCCGACCTCCGACTCCATCTGCCGTCCCTACTCCGTACCTAGGTACGTCAACAATTATCTACTCCCCACGGAAATTCTTCAGACATTCTGCCTATATACCGGTGGACCAATGAGAGACGAGTGATCGGTTACCTTAATGGCATAATGACACCACCCCCCGCAGACCCAAAGACCGGCTAGTTGAATACGAATTGTGGGGAAACGGTTTTTTAGAGCTTTCTCCATGGGAAGGGGGGATTTCCGATACTATCCATCCCGGCGTTAAGCACCGTTGCTCCTTTTGACAGCGATAGTAATACGAACTTTTCTAGTCCAGGCTAATACTAATTACTAACCTAGGTGTTTTATTATTCCATTCGGAGTACCCCCTCCCCTCTCTCCATCCATGGACACGGGGAGGAAACATTTACCGGGACCAATTCCCCCCCCCCTCTTCTCTCCACCGCCACCGCCCCTTGGGATTTGCCATTTTCCAACAGATTGAAGACTAGGCCAATCATCTCTTGGACTGACATCAGTCGATGGCTGGTTTTGCAAGACGATGGATTTACCGATACTAGTAAAAGGCCAGTTGAATGCGGAGTCAAGACTTGGACTAATTAAGAGTGTTTTGTATACTCCGTATTGATGGGACGCCTTGTCTCCACTAGGAGAATGGGATCGTCTTTCGACGATGTTTGTTCTAATACTATTAGTGCTGAGTTAGATCTGTCAGTCGGTTGATTCCAGGACGCTATATATATGTCTATCTATTTTCTTACGCAGGACTGTGGCTCTTCAGTTTCTTCTCTTCAATACTGTATCCATCATTCTAGCTCTCCATATATATACTCAATCTATAGATATACTTATCATATACTTATATACTTATATATACTTTCTGCCTCGTGTCATCAGTAAGACGAGAGCATGCCAGCCAACGTCGAACAGAACGGGAATGGATTTCATCATCCCCAGGAAAAATGGATCGTCGAGGACCGGGCCATCGATGCCTGTCGCCCGATCCGGGTCGTGATCATGGGCGCGGGCATCTCCGGCATCACGGCCTGTATCCGGCTTGTGCAGCGCATCCGGAACCTCGACCTGTGCGTGTACGAGAAGAATGCCGATGTTGGCGGCACGTGGTTTGAGAATCGCTACCCTGGTTGCGCGTGTGGTAGGGTCCCTGATTCACTAGAAGAAAGACATGAACGTCGTCAAGCTGATGAGTTTAAGACATCCCGGCACACACATACCAGGTCACCTTCGAGCCGAACCCCGAGTGGTCGCAGTTCTATGCGAGCGCCAAGGAGATATACCAGTATTGGAAGAAGATTGCGCACAAATACGGCTGCATGAAGTACATCAAGCTCAGGCAGAGAGTCGTCGAGGCGCGTTGGGACGAGGACCAGTCCAAATGGCTGCTCAAGGTCTGTGCCGGCCTGCCAGAGGATTGCTGACCTTGCTAATCCTGGAATGACCCAGATTCAAAACGTCGAAGATGGATCGGTCTATGAAGACTCGTGCGACGTGTTCATCTCCGCCCAGGGAGCCCTCAACAATTGGAAATGGCCCAATATTCCAGGCCTGCACGACTTCAAGGGCAAGTTGCTGCATAGCGCCAACTGGGATGAGAGTTATGACTACAGGGTAGGTGCCAGTTTTCTCCCGATGAGCTGCTGTCAACTGACACCGCCTAGGGGCAAAAGGTGGCCGTCATCGGCAACGGCTCGAGTGGGATCCAGATTGTCCCCGCGATGCTCCCAGATGTTGCCCATATCGACCATTATGCCCGTGGCAGGACGTGGCTGTCTCCGACGTTCGCTCGAGAGAAGATTGACGAACGAGGCGGCGCTGGACTGGATAACAGTAAGTGTGCCGCAATCTAGTCTCCTCTCGCAGTGCATGCTCACATGGTGCAGTCTCATTTACGGCGGAAGAGATTGAAAAATTCAAAACTGATCGACAAGCTTATCAGAAATTCAGGAAAGGCAAGAAGAGATACTCTTATCGACGGGAGCAAGCTAATAAAGGGTCATCGCAGACATCGAACTCGAACTCCAGTCCAACCACCGCGTGACCATCAAAGGGACCCCCGAGCAACTCGCAGGGGAAGAATTCTTCGCCCAGAACATGAAGCGACGCCTGGCACGGAAACCGGAGCTGGCAGACCAACTGCTTCCTTCGTTCCCGCCGGGATGTCGTCGACTGACTCCTGGGCCGGGGTATCTGGAAGCCCTCACCGACGACAAGGTGGAGGTGATCTTCACGGAGATCGCAGAGATTGACGCGGAGGGCATCCGCACCATCGATGGCAAACACCGCCCCGTCGATGCCATCGTGTGTGCTACCGGCTTCGACACGACGTTCGCCCCGCGGTTCCCCATCATCGGACGGGAAGGCGTGTCTCTGTCCGACAAATGGAGGGAGATTCCAGAGACCTACCTCTCCCTGGCGACAGATGGATTCCCCAACTACTTTATCTGCCTGGGGCCCAACGCAGCGTTGGGCGCAGGGAGTCTGATCCTTCTCATCGAGAAGGAGATCGACTACATGACGGCGTGCGTGGCCAAGATGCAGCGGGAGAACATCCGGGCCATGGCGCCTCGCCGGGAGGCGGTTGAGCGGTTCACCAAGTACTGCGAGCAGTACTTTAGCAAGACGGTGTTCAGCACCAAATGCCGTAGCTGGTACAAGGGAGGCCGCGAGGATGGACGAGTCACGGCGCTGTGGCCGGGTGAGTTGCCTTGCCCTCTTCGCTCTATCTCAGTTCATGACTGATGTGATCGACAGGATCCTCCCTCCACGCGATGAAAACGTTCGCCAACCCTCGCTGGGAAGACTTCGAGTACGAATACATCAACGACAACCCGCACGGGTGGCTCGGGGACGGCATGACGGAGGACGAGAGGAACCGGACGGTCAATGTGGACTACCTGGACGACGACCAGGTCGATTTTCCGACCCCAGTCAACGATGTCGAGAGTGCGGCATTAAATGGCAAAGGGCCAGAAACGAACGGATCTGAGACGAATGGATCTGAGGCAGTGGCTGCAAAATATGAAAAATGGACAGACCAATGGTGCACATCGAGTTGATTTCGCCTGTATGCTTCCTGTATGTGTATTTTTTTTATTCTGACAATGACTGCAGCGTATCTATCTGTCTTTTTGTTTCTGCTTGTTTCTGCTCCTGAAATTATTCGATCTCTGTTTTGCAGTATGGCTATCTGGCACACAGTGCAGTATATACCATAGTACTCTCAGAGTAAGCAAGACTTATGAGCCATGAGAGCAAAACGAAAAAAAAAAAAGAAAAAGAAAAGAAAAAGAAAAGAAATTACTATACAAAACGGCCCCTATCACTTTTGACCGGATAATCGGATACTCAGCAGACGTTGGCAGACGTTGAGGCGTAATTGCGCGATATCTTCTGGTCACGTGACCAGCATGGCAGGAGATCTGGCGTGTCCCTGCATTGGCTTCAATTTCGAAATCCCTGCCATCGAGCTCCCAGCAGCGACATTATCATCCGCACTGATCCCTGGCACAGCTGTCAGCTGTCCGCGAGAGGGGATTGATTCATGGACTGGCGCTGGTCCAGCCAGGGCTGCTCGCTTAGGAGACGGAGTAGGCCCCTATTCCGGCTGGCCTGTCGATCGGCGCGGATTTAGGACGCCAGGAGTCGGATCCTGCGCTGCGCCTGGGCGAGCTGCTACGCCGTCTGCAGGATTGAGGATGGCACGGTGATAAGGAATAAAATACGGAGTAAATTAAAAAAATTCCAACTGCTGCTGCACCGGCCCCGTGGCTCCTGACCGGGCGTTTGCTTCCGGAAGCCAATGAGCCGGCTGCGGTCGCCCTTCTCCGGATGGCTCGCTTCCCCGCAACAGCCAACAGCCGGTGGGCCCAGCTGGGGCAGACAGCAGCAACAGCAGACATTATTGCTACGCTCGACTGCATTCCTGAGGCCTGGCTCTGCCCTGTCTGCTTTCCCAGGGAACCCAAATTCGCTCAGAACGGCCCTGTGATTGATTCAGTCGACTGACAAGCGAGCCCAGCACGGTGAGCATCTCCGCCACCACCACCAGCTGGATGGACGCTTCCGGCCATCAGCCCTTCGCCTCAGCTCCCAACTAACCTAATTCACTAGCGATTAGCCACTCCCCAGGGCCTGGCGACTGTCTGCCGATTAGTAACCGCTGCGCTTCCTGCTCTTCGGTCGGGGTCTTTTGCTCCTCCCGCGCGTTCTCCACGACCGCGGAGTAACCGATTCCCTGTGCTCCGGACAGCAACTGCACCGTCCTTTTTAATCCAGAGAGCTCTTGACCCTATCTTCGACCTTGGCTTCTCGATCGACGCCGCGTCCCAATGGCCTGCGCGCGTCCGCCACAATGAAGCAGGCATCCGATAAGCATTTCCGCTGCACCATTTGTCAGCGCGGCTTTACGCGAATCGATCATCTGAAGAGGCATCACTTGCGTCGTATGTGCTGTCCCCTAGGTCCTCCTGGATGTCGCTGCTGACCAGGGCCGTCAGACTCGGGCCTCAAGCCCTATTCATGCATTTTCTGTAGCGAGGCCTTTGCACGATGGTGAGCTCTCCATGAGGCGTCCAGGAAGTTGGAACACCGCTGATGGCTGATGATTGATTGCTAGTGATAACCTGCGTGACCATTACCCCGACTGTCCCAAGCGAGGGGACCGGCAGATCCCCGAAACCGGCCAGAGAGGGCGAAGGCGCCATGCCTGCGAATCGGTACGCATGCCCGTGATGCGTGGGAGAGGGCCAGAGACAATGTCTGATGTGTGGTAGTGCACTGCGATGAAACTCCGCTGCGATGGCGAGAGCCCTTGCAGCTCGTGCATCAAGAGGAACCTCAAGTGCAACAACCAGCGCAAAAAGCCTGCGACGGGAGCAGAGAGCGCCAAACGTGCGTCTTGCCACTGGACTCATGGTACTGACAGCGTGTTGACTGCTTGTAGCACTGACCTCGGTCAAGTCTGAAGATTACGACCAATCCTCCGACCGTGGCTCGATCAAGTTCCTCCTCAATGGCGGCACGGACAGCTTTACGGAAAAGTTCAATCTGCCTCCGCACAGCGACCGGACCCGGGGAATGGTCTATCACACCCAGAGGGAGTTGGAAGAAGTAACCAACCCGATCGTTTCGTACCCTCTGGGCGGCAACCCCCCGGAATACGGTCCGCCCTTTGTCGACGGCGAACACGACGACCTTTCCTTCTTCCATGAGAATTTCATGTCGTTCATCAACGGGCCGTTTGCCGAGTCGCAAAAGTCACTGCAGGATCCGTTCACGGGCGGCATGGCGCATCAGCCGATGCTACCCCCAGGACAGGATCCCAACCTGGCCGTCGTCGGAGAGCAGCCGTTTTACGAACCGGAGAGCGCGTTCGCAACCACCTTGATCCAATCGATCCTGGCCAGGTCATGGACGGTCAATCTCGACGCCAAGGCGCAGCAGGAGATCTCGACCAACCTGCATTTCCTCCTGACGACCTCGCGCATCCGCAAGTTTATCGGCCTGTATTTCCGCTACTGGCACCCCAACTGCCCAATCATCCATCTGCCATCGTTCGACCCGGAGCAGGTCCCAACGCCGCTGCTGGCCTCGATCGTGTTTATGGGCGCCATGTATTCCAACGACGACCGGGAGACCTTCGTCGCGAGGCGGATGCTGGATTTCGCCGAGCTGTATGTGTTCTCGACCGAGATTTTTGCCTGCGAGAGTGAGGTCAGCCGGGTGTTTGTCGGGCGACCGATGACAGATGCGGAACGGAGAGACTGGGTGCATTTCCAGCACTTCCAGGCCGCCTATATCATGGTGGTCGTGCAGTACTGGGCGGGATCGAAAGCGGCGCGCAATCGAGCCATGGAGATCCGGTTCGGTGAGATTATCAGGGTACGTCGCTCTTCCTTTTGTCAGGTGTCGTACTCACCGTACTCACTCTGTGAAGATTGCACGTAGTATGGGCCTTACTGGCTGCCGCCATCTTCCTGAAGATCGCATCCATGAAAGCCTGTGGATTCAGAAGGAGAGTCGCATTCGGTAGGTATGCTTCTTACTATTATATGTGTTAGGCTAACGAATCAGCACGATCAACATCATCTTGCTGCTCGACTGTGCCTTTTCGTTCTACCAGAACTACCCCTGTCGCCTGACGCCTTCGGAGATGGAGTGCGACCTGCCCTGCGAGAATGCCTTCTTCAACTCGGAGCATCCCTTTGCGCAGCCCAACTTCCGGTTCAGCCGGGAAACCACCGTCTACGATGCGTTCCAGTTCCTTTTTGCAGAGGACCAGCCGATCAACCAGTCGTCCAACGGAGCGAGCAACGTGAAATTTACCGTTCTCGACATGTTTATTCTGATTCACCGTATGTAAAAGACATAGCCATTCTGGAATGGTTACTGACTGACTGTCCAGTTCTCTACGCGTTCATCAACTCGCACATGACGCACCTCATCCCCCTGATGCGAATCCGGCAAGCGAAGCAGCAAGCCTCCGAGTCGTCCTCCCCGAGCGAAAACAAAAACCAACGCAGCAACCACTCGATGCCCGAGGACTCGATCCTGACGTCGATCCGCACGGCGCTGGCGCGGTGGCGCACGCTGTGGATGGCGCTGCGCACTGAGATCCCGCACCACGAGTGGGCGTCGATGGGGTTCTACAAGAACGGGTACAACTTCTGGCTGGTGGCGCAGCTGCTGATCACGAAGAAGCACAGCGTCGACGTCACCATGCAGATGGAGGTGAAATGCGAGGACAAGCTGGAGAAGCTTAAAGTGTTGTTGCAGGATGACAACGACTGAATTTCACTCCTCAACTGTCGCTCGTTCCGAACTGTTTACTTACTGTCGGTGTTTCTCTGCGAGTTCACTGCACTGCACTGCTATGATTACGGGTCACGTCCGATGGAGATTGGCGATTGGCGATGGTTAGGTGGGTTAACTATGGTTTTAAGGAATCTCTATCTATTTATCTATCATCTGATCAGGTATATATAGTATATATCTATATTTACGGCGTTGGTAGTCCGGAGGAAGGAAGGAAGGAAACAAAAGGAAAGGAAAGGGTTGGGTACGGATTGTTTATTTACTTGGTATTTTACTTTCTAATATACGGATCGTTTGCAATGTATGTATGTATGTACATGTACATACAACTGTACAGGCAGGATGCTCGTTGCAGAGTAAAAAGCAGTTTTTCTTTTTTTTTCTTTTTTTTGTTTCTTACTTCACCTGCAGTCTACCTTCTCCAGTATAATAATTGGCTAACCCCACGTATGATGCCAGTCCAATCCCCGCATTTCTTCATCAATAATCAATCATCAATCAATCATCAATAATCAATATCGGATATATCCTGCCTTCTCCCCGTCCCATCCCAACAACTGCAACTTTCTTTTTAATTAAACTTTGCAGTGTCACACTATTCTGGATCTCGTTGCAAATTCTGACTGGACTGGACTGGACTGGACCAGTCCATCAGGGAAAAAATCCCGGTATTATTAAATTAACCTTTCCTCCCCGAGGGTGATAAATGAATGAATGAATGAACATCGTTCAGAATTTCCACAATAACTGTTATTATTTATTACTAGGTACGTAGGTAGGTATGTATGTATGTATGTAACTAATGGTCCGGAATAACCCCTCTTGTCTTTTTGTTTTCTTCTTCTTAGGGAGTAGTCATACTTGATGAGAAGGACAGGAAGGACAGAAGGATATCATTATTTGCCGGATTTAGTTGAGGAGGGGTAATACTTAGAGTATCCCCCCACTCGGGAGAACTTGTACCTGTACTGTTCTGTACTGTACATCCTTGTCTCATGTGGAGACTCAGACTGACGGACGGACGGACTCTGGAGAGAGATACGATGTATTATTATTATTCAACTAAGGAAGGAAAGGAAGGTTTTGCGAGAGGTAATTTTTGATTTTTGATCGATTACGGTTCAGTCTTCTGGATAAGTTATTATTATTATCGCTGACTAAAGTTCTAAACTGCAGGACAGACTCGAAATATTGCTTTTTTTTTCTTTTTGCTGGAGGAGTCTAGTCTAGCAGTCATCGTCTGAGACAGACGGAGAGACACTGATTGATACTGATTCCATTGTTGGGCACAATCAACATCAATATCAATATCAATCATATTAGCATGACCTCCACAAAGAAAAGCATCATCGTCACCGGTTCGTCAGTCAAAACAATCAAATAATATGTCGAGACTAACAGGTGACTAGGCGGCGCATCAGGAATCGGCCTCGGAATCACTCGCTCCCTCGCCTCGGAAACATCACACATCTCCATACTCGACATCAATGCCGCCGCGGGCGAGCAGACCCTCGCCACGCTGCAGAACGAGTTCCCCGAAGCAAGCTTCAGTTTCCATCAATGCGACGTGTCCAGCTGGGAGAGCCAGGCGGCGGCCTTTGAGGAGGTGTACCACGCGCAGGGACGGATTGATCATGTCTTTGCGAACGCGGGGATTACGGAGAAGGGGAAGTTGATTGTGAAGGATGAAGAGAAGCCGTCGAAGCCGGAGTTGGTGACGTTGAATGTTAATCTTGTTGGGGTTATCTACTGTAGGATCTCCTTACAGATATTATCAATCTGTCGAAGCTGCTAACAGGTGAGCTCAGCCGTCAAACTCGCAATCCACTACATTCTAAAGAATCCCCCATCACCTACGACCACGACAACCGCTCTCCCCTCCAGAGGAAGCATCATCTGCACGGCTTCGAATGCAGGCCTCTACCCCTTCCCCATAGCCCCGATCTACGCAACGTCGAAACACGCCGTTATCGGACTCGTGCGGTCCCTCGCACGGCCTCTTGCGCAGGAGCATATCCAGATTAATGCTCTGGCGCCGGCCGTAATCGGTAAGCATATCCATATATATACACATATAGATGTATGTCACTACTGACGTCTGCAGAAACGAACATCTCCACCGACAAGTCCCTGTTCAAATCCATGGTCATTACACCCATGTCGACGGCGACGAAGGCCGTCGCGACGCTGCTAGGCGATGCGAATCTGACGGGCAAGATTGCGGAGTTGCATGAGGAGCATGTCACGTTCGCTGAGCCGCCGCCTTATGTAGATGAGAATACGGGGAGGAATATTGAGATGTTTTGGGAATTGGGGTATGCTTGATATACATATACCTGGGAATAATATAATATACTTGTGCTCCGAATTGAACATATTAGTTCTCAACCACTATTTTTGCAATATTACTCTGTCAAACTTACAATTACTAAGTACGTACTATTCTTGCCTTGCTGTCTTATACTGTAAGATGGGTAACTTGGCATAGTTTTGTTTTGTTAGAAGTTTCGTATCAACATGTAGTATGACTACCATACTATAACTATCTGTCAACAGAAAATAGGTAGGCTCTTCCTGAGTTGAGGATAATCAGTTCCTCGGATCGATCTCAGCTACGGACTTGATAAGGTGCAACTTCAGTCGAAAGAGGTGACTAACGACAATAAACGGTCATATCGCTGACGCCAGTCCCAGGAACAGCTAATCAACTCTCTTCAACACTACCCACGGATTGACATGGTTGACTAGTCCTCTATCAACCGTTGCTGCAAGCTGATCGATGTGGGGCCTCTGGGGAAGAAATGCGGAGGAGCAAGTCTGCTGTACAAGTATTATTAATTACCGAGGTGACTGACTCATCGTCATAGCCTGAATTCTCCGGTGCCTACTCCGTACACTTACAGACTCAGCCTAAAGCCAGACGAAAGCCAGACGAAAGAAGGTCTGATGAATTATCTGACTGATGAATCATTTACCGCTTTGGGAAAGACGTGGGATGGTTGCAGCCGTCTCCACATGAACCATCGTGTAGGAGTACGAGAGTACTAGACTGTATTCTCGCAGTGCGGGGAGTACATACGTGTACCCCGTATGTAGTGTACTGTACCAGGTTATTATTAATTCAATTCAAGTCAGGAAATTCACGGAAATCCTCCGTAAGCTTACACTCCCGGTCCGGATAATTCTGCAGAACATTCACCCCAGCCAGACTGCGTCTGGGGTTTTCCCAGACTCGACACCCGGCAAGCTGCAAACCCCCCCGCAAAATGCCGGACAAATCCTGGGGTAAATCCCGGACAAGGGGGGGACTGGACTGACTCGAGTTTCTTCAGGCTGACTCTGATTTCTTCAGACTTTGTACGACATTTGTATCGTGTAGTACCAAGATATGGTTTTCTTTAGTCCATACGTACTTTGTATGCGAATTTGTCCGGGGAAAAACCTTTAGTACGGTTGTCAGCAGCAAGTATCTACCTAGTGCCAGCTACATCCTAAACAGGTACAGTCTATCAGTCTAGGTACACGGACTATTTTCGAGCTTTGCTGCAGTAACCGTAAGCATGGCACAGCAGAGAATAGAATAGCATTGCATAGCATAGCATGGCTTACGCTTCTTTGCTGGAGACAAGTCTAGTCCTGACGAACTCCACATGACGAATGGAGAAAGGTTCAGTTTCGATATAGCTAAAGAAAGAACTATTTATTCACCCGAACTACTGGGATTATTCTGATCGACAGTCACCTCTTCTCTGTCGTCAGTCCGTCAAGTCAATTGACCGACCTTGCTTGCCTGCTACACCATGCCCCTAGGCATCCTTGAAGACACCAAACTCGACCACGTCCCTGGGACCGCTCCCCTCAACGAGCTGGAGCTCGGCAGCGAGGACGTCGGTGTCTCTGGCGTCGACCCCAGCTTGCTCAAACACGACTCATCCGGCCGCTTCGTGCTCGTCCCCCAGCCATCAGACTCGCCCAATGATCCGTACAACTGGCCTAGATGGAAGAAGGAGATGTTCACGGTGGCGTTTGCGTGGGGATGTGGATGTGTGGGGGGTACGTCAGGATACATCAAATCTATATCATCTATATCATATCTAACGCATTCAGCAATCGGCCCCCTCCTCGGCGCAGCCTTCGTCCAACTCGCCGAGCTGTTCAACGTCGAACTGACGACGTTCGTCTCCGGTCTGCAGGGCGGCATGATCGCCAGCATCGCCGTCGGCAGCGTCGTGTTCAACTCGCTGGCCGTCAAGTACGGCAAACGGCCCATCTACCTGGCGACGACGCTGGGGCTGATGGCGTCTGCGTTCTGGGGCGCTGAGGCAAAGAGTTTTCCGTCGCTGGTGGCGTCTAGAGCGCTGGCGGGGTTGTGTATGGCGCCGATGGAGGCGCTGATTCCGGCGTCTATTGCTGATATCTGGTCAGCAGTAGCCTTGCTCGTTAAGATTTTTTTTTTACTGACTGACTGATTGATAGGTTCGTGCATGAACGTGGCTTTTGAACAGCCATTTTCAACCTGGGCGTATTGGGTGGAATCAACCTTGCGACTCCAATCGGTGTGTCTGACGAATCCAGACGAATCCAGTATGCGAGTTCGTTCACTAACCTGTATATGTATGTATCAGCCGGCGGAATCATCGAATACGGCTCGTACAAAATCGCCCTGCACTCCATCGGCGGCGCCTTTGGGCTGATGTTCTTCCTGGTGTTTTTCTTCATGCCCGAGACGGCGTTTCATCGGGAGGGGGCGTTGAATATCGATACGGGCGAGAAGGCGGTATTTACCCTGCCCTAGCCAGGCTCTGGATATTTTTTTTTGTATGTGAGGTCTGCTAATGCAGCCTCAGGTTACGATGGATGGAAAACCAACTCTCGAACACGTCGAACGCGCCGGTGACAAAGAGACTGGTGCTACAGCTACAGCTTCAGCTTCTACAGCTTCTTCCTCCCGACCCAGTTCCACTGACAAACCAATCTCCTACGCCAGACAGCTCCTCCCCTACAGCGGCTACGTCAACGACGTCTCGTTCTGGAACACCCTCGTCCGGCCATTCTACCTGCTTGGCTCCCCGGCCGTCGTCTGGGCGACCATCATCTTCACCACCGACATCTCCTGGCTCGTCGGGATTTCCGTCACCCTGTCGCAGATCTTCTCCGCGCCGCCGTACAACTTCTCCATCGGCGCGGTGGGCGCGACCAACATGTCGTCGTTTGTCGCGTCGGTCATAGGGACGCTGGTCGCCGGGCCGCTGATCGACGGCGTGGTGACGAGGATGTCCAAGAGGAACAATGGGATATTCGGTAAGCCAACACCTGTCCTAATCAAGAAACCAGACTAACTGGACTGCAGAACCAGAATTCCGCCTCCCCATCCTACTGACCAACCTCCTCTTCACGGCAACCGGCTTCTTCGCCTGGGGCCAGTCCGCCTACGCGCTGGACCCCTGGCCCGTCCCCGTCATCGTCTGCCTGGGACTGATCAACCTGGGGGTGCAGCTGGCGACGACAGGCGTGGTGGCGTACGTGGTGGACTGCCACCGCGAAAAAGCCGGCGAGGCGTTTGCGACGATGAACTGCCTCAAGAACCTGTTCGCGTTTGGGCTGACGTTCTACATGAACGGGTGGCTTGCGAGCCAGGGGGTGAGGAAGACGTTTTTTACCATTGGGGGGATTACAGTCGCTGTTACATTGCTGACTGTGCCGATGTGCGTACACCTTTTTTTTTCTGTATTTTGTGTTGACGCTGATATCTGTCAGGTACATCTACGGCAAACGCTCCCGGAGCTGGGTCCATCGTCACAATATCACTAATCGGATATAGCTGCTGCTGCTAAAGTAGCTAGGTATGCATGATTATGCCTGGCGTATGTTCATCCATCTAGACGTATATAGATCTCGACTATAACATGTATTGATTTTTCCTTAAATCTGATCCTTTCCCTGTACGACTGAAAATGTACAGTACATACATAGTACAACAGACTTTTTCTAACTCAAATAAATGAAATGAGGAATTCGAAAGCAAACTAAACTAAAATTTGTTGAACATCCGTATTCTGTGATAACTACGACGATGATGTACAGTTCACCTGCAGATTGGAGTCGTTGACCTATACATGCCGAAAACAGTCAATAATTGTACATACATAGCAGACAAAAAAGGATATACCAGGATGTGGTTGGGGAAAGACGCACATTATCACAAACAAACTCATTCGTCCCAATCGGGCTGATGGCATGGATGTTCGTGGCCGTGATGTTGGAGCAGACCTAGAAAAACGCAGCATTTAGTGGTTGCATTTCCATATACAGCACGCAGAGTGTGACAGATTCTTACATTCGGACTCGAGCAGACCAGCGTCCCAACATAAGGATTGTTCTTGCCCGACGTGACGCCGGAGAAGTTGTTGAAGACTATGTCTGAGATGGTGAGGTTGCTCTAATATCGAATTAGACATTTAAAAAAAAAGAATTTCTCTTTAGGGTTTCTTGGGGCGACGCACCGGATACTCCGTACAAAGCGTAGCATTACTCTGGCCATAGCACTGCGTCAACTCAATCGCCCAGTCGACGTTGTCGATGTACAGCGTGTCGTAGACGACATTCTTGACGCTGCCCAGACCGCCACCGCCTTGCAGATCGGCCGACATCTCGGAGGGCACGCCTGGCCAGACTTTGATGCGGGCGCCGTCCTTTCACCTTGGTCAGATCATGTCCTGCTGGAGAAGTGTTGGAATCTTACAGATGCGTTGAACATGGAGATGTTGTAGACGAGAACGTTCTCGACGATGTCGACCTCCCCTTTGTACTGCCCCAGTGAGCCGACGGATATGCCGTGGGAGCCGTTGCAGTGCAGATTCTGCACGAGGATTTCCGTGCTGTTGGGTTTGAAGGAGACGCAGTCTACAATATCAGCATAAATCTAGTAGATTCTAGTTGTATACATACCATCACCATTATTGATAACCGAATTCTGAATGACGATATTCTCCGAGCGATAGATATCCCAGCCATCCGTATTCTTGGCCGTATTGTTGCTTTTGCTGAACCCGCTGATGTCGATCCCGTCAAACAGCACGTCCGACGAGTTTGCGACGAGATGGTACCACTGCGGCGAGTAGCGCAGCTTCAGCGGACCGATCGTGCCCCCGTGCAGGCCGATGATGCCCATCAGGATCGGCCGCAGGATCAGGTCGTTCTGCGCGTACAGGTCGTACCACACCTGCCCGTTGCCGTCCAGCGTGCCGGTGCCGTAGATGTTGACGTCTTTGCCGCCGAGCTGGAAGAAGGTCGTCGCGTTTTGGAAGCCCTGTCGGAAGGCGTGCGCTTGCCAGTAGTCGGTGTCGTTGGTGAATTGGATGTAGCCGTTGATTTCTAGGAATTAAATGTATAAGTGCATGCAGTGAATCAACTGCAATATTTTTTCCTACCTAAATCGACATGCTTCAAAAACTGCAGATCAAGCGCCGTGCCAATGACGTATTGCTTGTCAAAGACGACCTTTCCGCCATTGTTGCATTCTTTCAAGGCGGACAGGAGTGTACTCCGAGTCATCAGAGCCATCACCATGGCTGGGGACATTGCAGACTTTGGTTCTTGCGTACGTTGGTGGCAGAGGATTGAAGGGTCGTTTGGGACCGACGGCGGCGTCCCGGGAGAGCGAGATGGCGTCCGCTAGGGATGCTGCGAGCAGCAGGCCGGATGCAATTGAGAGCTTCATCTGGGCAATAATGACTGGCTCAGCAGACTGGCTTTTGCGAGATCAATTGCAAGGCATTGCAAGCTGAGCAGCTAGCTCATTTATTTATACTATCCCAGAATAGAATTGAATTGAATTGAATTATCTGCCTAAGAAGCAAGCTCAGACCCGCAGTTCCTTCCAGAGCTATGCCCCTATCTATGACGAAGCTTGCACTGCAGTTATCTAACTAATTTTCCCCAGATTTCTCCTCAAAAACAATCGGCGGAGAAACATGTTTCCTGTGGGGTTGACTCGGTAGTGAAGTACGGGGTTGAATCGGATAGACGGCACTACTATACAGACTTAGACAGACTATCAGCATTTCTACATCCGGTCTAGATTAACTTGCTAGCAGGAGACCGGCTCGATTCTGCGCTTCCGATAGGAGGGATAACTTGGACAGGAAATCGCCGATTGAAGGAAAAATCAGAGACAGACAGGACAGTAGGTACATGCTTTACTTTCGTCATCACTCTTTACGATTTGGTTAATGAGTTTCTATCGCGATTATTAGATAATATAATACTCCGACATGTGTTGAACAGAGAATATGATGAACAGGAATATGAATGAGCCATGCATACAGCAGTCCTAACTAGAAGCGGAAATAGAATATTTGCTCTGCTAGGGGAAATGAACCACGAGAAGACCGGCAGAAGAAAAAAAAGAAAAAGAAGAGAGAGAAAGAATTAAAAATACAGCCCTAATTCGTTTGGTTCCAGCCCTAATCAACCTTAATAAAAGGAAAACGCGTCTTAATATTAATGTGCATACATGATTGCAATAATGGGCTATTTTAAAGGAAATAGTCACTGGAGATAAATGGGAATAGGTTCAAGTTCCTGTGCATGCATGACTGTGTGCATACATATAAGAGGGATAGGAGAAGCATTTCTCATCGCTGTAGCAGATACATTCACATCAGCTATTTATTTCATTGCAAAGTGGATTAATTTTTTTTATTTCTTTGCCATTTAAGTTCCCATTAACTAACAAAGTCCAAGTAGGGAAAAGAAGAGAGGAGAGGGTGAATGAAGAGTTATGTATAGTATACACATACACCTATATTATACTGTACATACATATATTGCATATTGCGGTTAGAAAAAAGACGAATGAAGAAATATACCAACATCAACATCAATGTCAACTCGACCTTCTTGACCCTCAATGTATGATAGCTACTCCTTTTGCGAGTATGATGAGGATTAAGTATCCTCACGAGGGCATATTTTTATCTCAACTTTTACTAGCATTTCAGTATATACATTTCTCTTGCTCCTGTTTTGCTCTAAATTATACTCACTATATGGTGCTTTCTCTTTCTCTTTCTCTCTCTCCTACCTGAACTAAACAAAGGCACTTTTGACATTCTCATTATCATCCTGGATCAATCCATAGATCCTTTAAAGAATTGAGAATTGCAAATACTCGGTTTTTTTCCCCCTTATAGCTTGCATTCGGCGCCAGAACTGCTTTCCTGAGGTGCTTTTTTTTTATCAGCGGCAGCAGAGTCCCACTATCTAACTGCACAATCATCGACTGACGCATTAAAGACAGCCAAGCAATACGCTGAGTATTACTGAAGATTTGATTCAGCACACACACAGAGAGAGGGAGGACTCCAGCTCTTCATCCATCACAACAAAAATCTCGACGACTTCTTAAACATCAGCAGGTCGATCCATGCCAGCTATTTTAAGGAAACTTTTTTTTGGATAAGGATGTCGATTTATATGCCTCGCCTTGAATATTAATTTCACTGTTCACTGTCTGTTCACCTACTTGTAAAGATACAGTCTAACTATACAGTCTAATTTCTTTTGTTATTTTTATTCCTATAAATCATTATCATGCCCGAAGATAATACCTGCTCCATCAGCTCCCTCCAACAGACCTGGGTAGACATTAGACATTAAAGCTATCCAGCACAAAACGCCTCGATTGATATCGATAGGGGTAGCGAAGTACATACAAAACAAACCAGCACGCTACAATACAAGCCAGACTGACGAAAAACAAAAAAATTCCCAAGCCTGCTGGATGAGACCCTCGACGGTATTATTACAGCTAAATACAATGGTATTTAACTCAGCGCCTGTCTGTGCTGTATCCACCAAATGGCGTACCATATGGTCAGTCACGACCAGTCGTCTCGTCGTCATGAGGAGCGGATGAGGAGTCTCTTTTCGTATCATAATTGTCTTCGACTTTCGTCTGATGGACGCGGCGCAGACATATGTACTCGAATGAATGGTAGAGAGGAGCCAATATAATAGTATCAGATATTCAGAATTTCGTGACGCAGAAGCAAGCAGAGAGAAAGAATGGATGTCTCTGATACACAGCACACAGCACATCAATATAAACATTTTCTTTTCCCCCCATTTTTTCTCAATTGAATACATATATATATATGGTTGCCATTAACTAATATAACTAATATATTATGCAACAAACGAGTATATATGAGATGCAATGAGATAGGCTAATAAAATGATAAGAAGAGTTAATCTTAAGCATTGTATGTACTGTACAATACATACTTCCTATAGATACCTTCCGCAATCTTGACATTTGACATGAAAATGTATAAGTACATACATTACATGTACAGAGTATAGAATAAAAAATATAATCGGACAAAGATTGGGTAGTAAAAAAAAAAGAATAAAAGAAAGAAAGAAAAGAAAGAAAAGAAAAATTAGGGACAAATATAGCAAAACAATGAGTATATGAACTCTCGAGAGTTTTTTTTTAGAGAAAAAAAGAGAGTGAGTGAAAGGGAAGGAAATAAAAGAAACAAAAGAAGAAGAAGAAGAAGAAGACATGAGCATGAGATGAGTTAAGATGAGCTAGTCTTCAACTCTGACTTAACTGGACAGCAATACTATTTTATATATTTGTTCCTGGAAAGAAATACTACAGAGTATATAAATATCTAGATGAGCATTCATTTATTTACACTCTATCACTCTATAATATCTAATATTATCTATAAATATCTATATCTATAATACAAAAAAATGAAATCTTCTCGCATATCCGGTGGGTACAGACAGATCATTCATTGTTCTATCTATTTTAAATCCGGTGTCTCCTTTCCTTTCGTTTTGAAAAGAGAATAAGAAAGAAGAAAGTAAAAGTAAAAAAAAAAGCTCCAGAAGATGGATCACAAAGTAACTCAGAAACTCTCGTCGTAGATAAATGATAGTATGTACAGTAATAATACGAACTAATAACACAATTTAAGAACGATAGATACGTGGCTTTCTTTCTTTGAGAGACAGACGGCTTTTTTTATTTCTATTGCTCATATTGTTCATGCTGGCCTGGTATGTATTTATTTTGTTTATTTATTGCATGTCTTGGAATAACTATGCAGCTGAGATCGGGCGACTATAATATAATATGATGTATAGCAAATAAAAGATATGCTTGCAAGAGGTAGCAGCAATGCGAAGATAGGAAAGGGAAAAAAAGATATCTTTACTACCACCGAGTCATAATACCACAGATCTATACTCCGTACTATCTTGCTAAGTTTAACACGTTCAACCTGGAACAGATATCTGCATGCAGACATTGTATCAAATTAACCAGCAAACTTCCGGTTCTTCTTCATCAGTTCATCTGATCTGTCACGACTCTGACTCGGCGGTCGTATTGATTGATGCCTAACCTACATACCTAACTGCCGCTGATTCATTCATTCATTTCCTCTCGATCGAGATCTTTCTTTCTTCGTGGCTGAGCTGCTTTAAATTAATTTAATTAGTGGTTTTTTTTCTTTGTTTTGTTTTGTTGGACGGACGGATGGATAGATGGATGGATAGATGGAATGTATTCATTCATCCGGATGAGGAAGGTGGTTATAGTATAACATCCATGGATGATTCCTCCGTATGGAGTACGGAGTACGGAGTAGTTACTCCGTAAAATAATATATATAGATTGCTGCGCACAGCACACCACTGCTTGAGTCGCTTGACGGTATATTGATCTCGGAGAGATGACGCAGATGATCATGATCGACAGACGGTCGGCCGCAGCCCGCTTTGTCGGATTGTCCTGGCTTAATTATCATTATTAACTTCTTAACTAACCTTCCGGCCTTTGCTTCAATAATCTGTATTCCTGATTGGCCAGCTCCGTTGTCAGAGTTCCCGTCCTCCATGTTCCCGACAGGAGGGATGAAGGGATGAAGGGATGTAATGTATCATGTTGCACATTCGTCCATCCCATCAAATCACTTAACAGGTAAGGTATCTATGGAGTACTCCGTACTAGTCTACAGTCTACTAACTACTGATGATCGGCGCGTCGTGGCACTGCTTCAGGAAGCTGGCTACCAAAGTTACTTCCTTCGAGCAGCCTCCGTATGACTGTGGAGAAACAAAAATTCCCCGCTTTTTTTCTTTATTATTCATTCATGCTTTATCAATCTTCGCTGACACTCAGTCGTGAAACTTGCCCGAAGGCTGATTGGCACTTAGCTTTAGGGAGTACGGAGTAGTGAGATCAGTTAAAACTTCACCCGACCGTATATACACCTAATTACCAGTATGGAGTACTCTGTAGACGCATTTTCAATAATGATGGACGACGACCACAGATGAGACGTGATTGCACACATGAAATACTTCAACTGGCTGCACCGGATATAAATCAGATGAATTAATTTCCTCTGGAGCACTCAGATCATCTGATCAGCCAACGCAATTAATTTAATTAATTTCCAAGGACCTCTTTTCCCGCGTTTTGGGGGCGAAAGTGAAAGCCTGCCTCACGGACACTTGGACGGGATCGGTACGCTGTACCCTGTACTCCGTACGGAGCACTCTCCAAGCCTCCAGCTGTGATGAGTTAATCAAACTCATCGGATGTATTCTACCGCACGGAGTTATCTTTGCCCGGGACAAAGTAAAGTCTCCCGCCAAGTTCCAACCTACGCTGATCTTCGTTGACAGGTGGGACTGCCTCCGACGCCTCCCTTGGAGTTGGGCCTTGGCGCCGCGCAGCATCAGCATCTGACGTGGACTGCCACTGGCCACTGGCCATATGATCCACTGATGACTACTGACAGGATGAGAGTTTATTCCACAGCAAACTCAGATTAAAAGATTAAAGAGAGAGTGTGTACAGTATGAGCTGTTGCTGCAAGTTTGCCCAACGTACGTCGATTGTTCCTGACAAACAGGCGAGCTGTGGACGGCAATAAGCCATTGGCAGATGCCCGTCAGTTCCTCAAAGAACGCAGTTGCATAAAGAAAACTCAAAACTCGTACGTACTAATAGCGACCATTCGACTACTGTGGCTGAATCCATCGTTTCAATTCTCACCAGGGTCAACCAGGGTAGCGGGAGATTGGAATTATTGTTAACCATTCAAACGGATATAAGGCTATCTCCGCGCAGTAGTGGACGGTTCGCAGGCAACGCTTGGACCGTACCTATGCCATTGTGGTGAATGAAGCTCAGCCGTTGGCGACGAACAGACCACCAGAGGCCCACTGCAATGGAGATCAATCCGCCAAGCACGGCCCGCTGCTGTCCTTAATAGCTGTGTAATAATAATTACTCGGTACAGAGTACGGAGTATTGCGTACTGTAAAAAATCCTGGCTTTCTTCAGGATAGCATCAATGCGGCCTGACTGTGACTGTGCTGTGTGGCGTAACCAACGGCCCCCATTGTGACCTTTTTTACGATTACAGTCATTGCGATGGCCCTTGGTCAAGAGTCAAGGTTCACGGCAGTGCCGTATACCCGATGCTGGGGAGATAACGTGCTGTCGCTGTGGCGCGCCTAGTGGCTATGAAGGTGTTGGTGAAGCTTATTACTGCAGTCTTTACGGAGTAGATTATCAGTTCAACTGACGGATGGTTAGAGATTAACCGGTCTGAAGCTAGCTTACTCCGTAGACGGAAAAGCGACAGGATTCCGTCTGGCAGGTCAAGTACGGAGTACTCTGTAGTCCTTTCCAGTTCAACTCCAGACTTAATACCGATATATACCGAATAAGCCGGGATTCCTGCCTCCAGGTTTCCCGCTGCAGCCTTGAAAGAATTGGTTGTGTTCAGCAACTAGTGAGAATGATCAATACCACCTTGCCCTCTAGTTACTCCGTATGCAACTACCTGGTTTCGAACATTCAAAGCAAACCGACCTGGGTTGAACTCGTGATCTGCCGTAACGCGTAAGATATCACGATGAAGGGACGATCTCTGAAGTCATTGGTGCATTTCCTAGACATCAGGGGCTATGGGGCTGAAATCTACGACTGACCATGGCTAGTCGTAAATGCTGCGACTAGGATCGAAGCACAAACTGATCACAACCGATGAAGCTCCCGCCGATGGCCAGGAATCAATGGATCAAACCAGGTCGATGTATCTGTACGGAGTACTCCGTAATATTGAAGGCGACTGCCATGGTACCTCTTTAAATACCTGCCTATTCTGGAAAATGGTATCAGGTGACGGACGACTTCCAGAACTCGACAGGTTGTGACCGATTCCATGCGCGCGCAGTAGTTCGATTTGCTTGCCACATCTCACTCTCTGGGGGGCCTGAGTGACTGGTCAGACGGTCAGAGCGAGGTCCCGGGGCCAATGCCCCGGAAGATGGCCCGAATTGGAATTGTCCGTCGGGTGGCCTCAGAGACTGTGACGACGGAGGATGGCGTCTGACTCGGACGATGACTGGCTATCGAAAGCTCCTCCGGTGCATATTGTGCGCACCTTAATTCCAGGCGGCAGATGTAGATGGGTTGTTGGATCTATCATATCACCGACTGGGGAGCATGAAACGGATTAAAGTCGGGGCGCATAGGACCTGAGCGTCGGAATTGAACGGAGCACAGGCGCAGAGCGTCAGGTGTCTGGCACAGTCCGGAGGAGACAGCCAGTTGGGAGAGCTGGCTGCGACCGGGGGGAGCGGTGGGCGGTGCGATCTAGGATCGACAGTTCGACACCAATACGATGACGACCTGCAACCTTGATGCTGGTCCTGAGGCAGCCACTGGCAACCCAACTTCAACCTCTCGCAAACGGAGCGCGCAGCACTCTGGGGGGGGGGCCGGAATCCGAGACGGTCTCCAGTGCCGAGTCAGTCACCACGACCAGGACAGGATCCCTGAGGGGGGATCACTGACGGATGGACTGATTGATTGATTGATAAGTTGGCTAGTCCGGAGGCACAGGCGCGCAGGCTGCCGATGTTTCGGCTTTGGTTCCTAACTAGGGAAGATCTCCAGATTAACAACCGCCCTAGTGGCTGCAGAAGCCACGTGAGGAACAGGGGCGTCTCCGCCGCGACACGGCGCTAGCGGGATCGTCATTTTAAGGCGGTCCAGCGTCGACACAGCTAAAACGCGGAGGGACTTTGACAGCCAGAGCAGTTGTTCTGCCTGAGAAGAGGTGTGAATCTCGTGGTGCTGAGGCGGAGGTGATTCCTCTGGTCGCTGTCCTGGTTCCTTCGTCTCTGCAATCGCATCGTGGGGCGGCAGGGTGGCAGGTAGCGACGGAGGAAGGCGTGCAGTTCGCACCTGCCCGAATCGGCCAGGCGCCAGGCAGGGCTGGGCCCAGAACGCAAGCCCCCTGGTCCTTGCCGCCGATCGCGAGTGCCAGAGTGCGCCCGCTAACGTGGCCAGCGAGCCGGGACTGCCCCGTCGTGGATGATCGGCGCCGGATGGATCTCGGTCACGGGATTTGGTGCTGCCGGGCCCCAGCTTAGTCAGCACGCCCGGACTCGCTGACTCGTGATCTTCTTAATCGGGCAGTTGTTCCCAATCCCCATTTCCCCCATGGGCCACATCGCCAAGGCGCTGCCCACTGCGCACAGAACCAACCTTCAATGCTTCAGCAAGAAACGAACCCATCACGGCATCACCGCACATCGAACTGTGCCGTGTCTCCTGGCCTCAGACGGCCGGGGAATAACGTCATCCTCCCCAGAAATGATTCATCCACTGGGATCGGGTCTTATCGCTCGGGACCATGCAGCTCCCTGGACGAGCCTCGACAAGGCCTATCTTTGTATGCAGACGCAGGCTGCAGCAAGAACAGGCCCTTCCCCGGGCGACGGGTCACGGGAAACGCGAACCACGGGGTTACTTCCCTTTGGGTCTCTTCATGCAGGACCAGCTGCATAATCCCTCCACGCAACAGCCATACGGAGAGTTTCTTCGGGGGAGCTGTCGAGAGCTGTTGGCTGCACAAAGCAGTTGAGTTTGGCATTCGTCTCCACCGCGGCCATTCCAGGCATTCCTGAAGGATACGGAGGAGGGATCGCTGGTATGAGTGGTCACACTGCCCAACTGTCAATTGCCAACAGAACTGAATGCGACTGCGCAGTGCACGATACAGCGTAGCTCGCGGTGCTATGTAGTTGTTACAACGTACTCCAGATCGTGGATCGCCATGCGTAAGCGCAGCTCCTTCGGATCCTTTTAGTCCGCCAATAATGGCGCACTGATGAGCAACTAGCCAGGGAGCTCCGCCGATTCGCGACCCGGTTACGAAATACGAGATCCCGAAAGGGGCGATGGCGGGAGATCGTTCCATCCAGTCCCGTTGCCAATAATAATAATAATATTAATAATAATATTAACAATCGGTACGGTGGCATCGCTCTTTGTGACGGCCACGAAGGGCGATTGCTTGGTCGAACAGAGAGACGAAGGCATTATTCTCCCCTGATAGTGCAGCAAGCGGACCTCGGGGGGTTGACAAGGGCGATCATTGCATTGCATGTGCCTGTCAACCCAACCATGGTACCCATCCACCCACAGGAGATGCGATCTGCAATTAAGGCAAGAAAGATCGATACGAGGTATACGAATGCTCCGTATCTATATCTCTGTCGGTACAAATGATTTTGCCTGGGTTTGATTCCCCTGGTTGCGTACGAGTATCCTGTCTCGGACAGCGTCTTGCTTGGATTCTGACGGGTAGACCTCCATACTGGGCATTAAATCGTCTTGTTAATGACCATCCTGCGTCATCCTGTACGCGTGCAGTCCCAGCAGCTTGCTCCCCGGGAACGGCCATAAGAAACTCATGGCTGGCTATATCTCCCCGTAGACTCGGGTAGATTTTCCCTGGTCCCCTGACTGGCCCAGTGGATCTGCATCTGGACAGACTTTCGGACACGTCCCGAGGCGAATCACTTGCCCGTTCGGGCAGGTAATAATTATGGAAGATCATCGATGCTGCAAAGCCACGGCCAAGACCCCAGGCCCCAGCGTCGGGACAGGCCGTTGCGGGAGAATCATGGTACGGGCGCGCCGACTGCTCGTATACTGTTGCTCAGCCAGGGATCCGGCGGCTCTGACTGGACGACGGCCAGCGGTGCATATTAACTCCCTGCGCATGGGCAGGAGGCTAGACGGCGCGAGCAACGCATGAGTGGCCTGGATAGCCGAGCGCAGGCCCACAAGGATCGCGCAGGGCAGCGCTCCTTGCGGAAGATCATCCCGGCGGGTCGCCCATTGCAGTGCAGCGCGGGCGATCCCCGTTGCCTGCTCAATGCGGCAAGACCGACCCGCGCGGCCGCGACCGCTGGCTTCCACCTTCCTTCTGGGGATGGCGATGGCCGTGCCGCGTCTCCAACTTATCAAGCATGATCATCAGCTTCATCAGCGTCATCAGAAGGAAGCACGGCCGACACAGCGCGCACCGCTGCGGTCGCCATGCCCGAGAACAGCGGGCTGGCGGCCCGATTCCCGGGGGAACTCCCCCCGTCGACGCCTCCTGACGGCCGGAGAACTGCGGGCTTGCGCCGGCCGTCCCAGATAAAACTCATGGGCGGTGGCTCTCAGCAATCCACCGCACAAGGTTGGTACGCACTGCACACGTTGCTTGCTGATTGTCCTTCATCTCGTCTTGGCTGCTGGACCAGTCGCAGATTAGGTTTTCCACTCCCTCTGCCGGTTATCCTCCGCGTGCTGGCTTCCGACGAACACCCTGTCGTTCACCTTCATCCTCCGTACACCCAGCAACAGGCGTTCATAACGACAGAGCGGGAGTTGAGCACCGAAGGCCAGCCGCGAGAGGACGGGTGTGGGGCCTCCAGCTGCTGGGAATGTGGAGAGAGGTGACGATGCACTGTGCACGGCGCGGATCCTTCGTCGGCTCCCGTGCCTGCTTGGAGCCGCTGAAGAGTCTATCCGGATAAATTCATTCGAGTCAGCGGCGCAGCGCCGTACGCCAGACGCCTGGAACAGCGTCTCCCCCGTTGATCTCCCCGATCAGCATTATTATCTAAGTTTAATGGATGGTAAATAGGGGTCACAAATTCAGGCTGTGTGCGGTTACGTGGAGGGAGCCCGTATGGTCGTCGCTGTAGCAGAATACGCTCCTGCAACCGCAGACCATGGCATCCAGCGTGTCCACTGTCTGCAGCGGTGATGCAGCTGTCAGAGCGTGGCACGCAAGGGCTGCCGGGGGGGGGGGGGTTTCGAGCGTGCTTCGACAAGGCTTCTGCGAGGTTCTCCCGCGGGCCCAGCGATCAGCCGGCGTGCATCACTGCATGGGGCTCGGAACAGCCAGCCAATATCCATGCCAAGCTCTGCGATCAGTGCAGAATGGATTATGGCAGAGCCAACAACTTGCTCCTTCCGGACCGTGCAATCAGCGCCCGGGCCGCCGGCCTGTTGGTTTGTCAGCAGACAACAGGCTGTCCCATGGATACTGCAAACTCCTCGACAACCCGCCCCCAAGGCCTTGGGTCCCGACTCTCGACTCTCGACTCTCGCTGGGAATGCCTTCCCCGTACCTATCGACTGTCGAGCGTCGTGGAAGGCATCTCGCGCCGGGTGGCCGGTGACGACCCGCTGGAGCTGGACTCTGGAGATCCGCGAGATCAGGCCTGCAGCACGGCCAGCGATCCTCCGGCCTACGATCAGCCGTTAACGGGGCAGAGAGGGCACTGTGACAGGTCCAGGCGAGAGCCACCGTTCGCGATCGACCGTGCAATGTGATTTTCTCCTGTGGATCGGCACTAGAGCGCTGGATCGAGCAAAGGCCTAACCGTTCGCGGAAATGGCCGACACGGCGCATCCTCGCGCGCTGATTGGCCGCGGCTGATCTGTCAAAGTCTGGCCCATGTGGCCGCGTCACTCGAGGCTAAAACAGCTGTATCCTCGACCATCCTAATAATACCTCGCTAGCTGCTGCGCGCCACGAGCCGGAGCCGGTGGGGACTGCACGTTCGACGGAGCAAACCCACGCCATGGCGTCTGCTCCACGAGTCCTGCCTGCCCTAATGGGCCATGGCGAGGGTGCGAGCCTAATGATCCGCATCCTCCTCCCCCTTCAGTCCAGCGTTCATTAAGCTTCCGTACCGAGGGGCTGGTCGAGACGAATCAAGGTATTACTCCGTATTAACGATATGGCGGCGTCGGAGTCAGGGTTGGCCTGACTGTTCCACTTCGGCCCCATATCAACCAACGACCCCCCTCTGCCCGGAGTACATTCATATTCCAGCCCTACTCCTCTGGCCCTTCGTCATCTGGCAAGCTGCCCCCTTCTGTTCAACACTACGTACTCCGTATATCCTTCTCGTGGGACTGTATACTTATCAAGCGGAGGGATCAAGGATCAAACTCGGTCTGCATCATGGACCTCGCCAGTCTAATAACAAGCGACTCGACCGACTCTCGTCGGCCCTCGCCGCCAGAGTCCCGTCCGCCCAGCTCTCGAACAAGGACTTTTGCCGAATGCCAGGAGAAGAATGCGCCCAACTCTTACTTTCCATCCATGAACTTCACGCAATCACCGCGGGCTCCATTGTCGCCGCCGGCAGAGGACCAGCCGAAATGCTCTCTGCCGTCCATCTCCACCCTCCTGGAGGGAGTGGACTGTGCACTTCCTCCAGCCAGTATGTAGCATCTGTGATATGCAGTCACGATCCGTTGCTAATCAACTGACAGAACGGCATCGCCCGAACCCATCTCAATCGAATGAGCCCAGCTCTCGCATGTTTCTGCCGCCTACGCCTCCGCTGCATTCGACGGGGGATTCAGCAGGGCAAACACTCTCCATCGTCATCAACCTCATCCTCCTCGCGCTCTCTCTCTACGTCCAGCAGCAGCAGTGCTACCAGCTCGATGAATCCGCCGCAGCCGCAGACACAGCTTCCACCCATTACGACGTCACTGCCAACGCCATCATCAGAGCGGCCCTCCATTTCCCAGGAGTCACGCATTTCCAGTGCTCCCTATGCATCGCCCGCACCGAGCATGGGCTCCTACACCTCGTCCGTCGAGCCGCCGGCAGCGTATCCGGCGAAAAATCCTCCCAGCTCGTACCCGGCCCAGAACGGGGCACCACCTGCAGCGGGCATGCCGCCATCGTCCCATGCACCGATGATCTCGCCGGTGACTCCGGCATGGCAGCACCACCACTACTTCCCGCCGTCCAGCTCGGCGCCGTATCCGCAGAACCACGACCGCTACGTGTGCCGGACCTGCCACAAGGCCTTCTCGCGGCCGTCGAGTCTCCGCATCCACTCGCACAGCCACACGGGCGAGAAGCCCTTCCGGTGCACGCATGTGGGGTGTGGCAAGGCGTTTAGTGTGCGCAGCAACATGAAGCGGCACGAGAGGGGCTGCCATACAGGGCGAGCCGTGACGGCTACTATAGTGTGATCAAGAGTCAGGTCGGTGAGCTGGCAGGCTCGACTCGACTCAAAAAAAAAAAAAGCTCATCTATCTACATCTGGGCACTGTAAATACAGCGTGTTTACAGCTGTCCATCTGGCGGGATTTTTTTTTTCGGCGTTTTTTAGTTTTTGACGAAATCACGTTGATACGGCCTGTACATAAGCATTTCTTTACTGATTCATGTATCTCGGTGGGGAAGGAATCGGCGCAGCTGCTTGAGATCAGTCTTGATAGATACCACGGGAGGTTTACTACTGCATGGGGAGTTGGTTTTTCTTCGGGATTACTGTATTTTTGAGAAATCTGTATATACTACATATCTATGGTCTGACTGGCCTGTCTAGACGGCCGCATTATGGATATTACTTGTTGAGCACGCGACATCGGACATTTATCCACTTCAGTAGACTAGACGGGATAAATAGAATTAGTCAATGCAGAGAAAGACATACGCGTGGTCAGAGAAGTGACCCTCATCGGCAATCGACATCCGATTGATTGATTGACTGACTGATGATTGATTCCCAACCCAACCTAACCAACAACAGAATGTGGATAGACCGAACATGGTTCGCCAAGCAGAGCAGAGCTGACTGACCAGACTGACCAGACCAAACCAAACGATGTGATGAGCAAGCAAGCAAGCAAGCAAGCAAGCAGCAGACAATCAATAATCAAGTAATCAATCGAATACAAACTACCTACCTAAGTAAGTAAGTAAGTAACTATCTAACGTCAGCGCCCGGTAAATACTCCGCAATAATCATTCCAATAATCATTCATTAATTATTAGGTACTCCGTACGGAGTAGGTAGGTAGGTAGGTGAGTTAAGTAGGTACTGTATATGACCTTCCTAGATAAGTCTAGTCTAGTCTAGTGTAGCTAGCTAGCATCGCAGACGGTTACGCTCAGGCTTCAGCTCATGCCTCATGGATGATGGATGATGGATGGATGGATGCTATCCATGGATGTAATGTAACCCTACCTTGCTGGCTGGTGTGTTTGTCGCGTGGTGTGGCGTGGCATGCCGCATGCATGGCTTTCTTGGCTTGCTTGGCTGATTGGCTTGGGCTTGGGCTGGGCATGGGCTTAGGATTGCTGCTGCAGCAGGGATGCTTGCGTTGTGCTATATTAATAATATAATATTAACCACTACTGATAATATACGCAGTACTGCGGAGTTCAAATTGATACTTGAATAGTTGTGATAGACTAGACTATACGGAGTAGACACCATATATCTGATACCTAGGTATTGACTACTGAGGTGTATTCTATTCTAATCTTCTTTTCTAATCTAATCAAGGAAGGTGGTCACAGTATGCAGCCCTCTATGTTAGTTACTATACTGTTCTATTATTATTATTGGTATTATGAATATTATTTCTGTTCTATGCAATCTAGTTGTGCTGCATATACATATGTTGATCCTGCTGAAGTTTACTCGAATCTGTCTGTCTGTCCAGTTCGGCCTTTGTCCTGTCTGTCCAGTTCGGCCTTTGTCCTGCCTGTCCTGTATTTACTTTCCTTGACAAATTGCAAAGAATAGGATTTATGCCCAAGCGTTGCATTTGCATTTATTTATTATTTCTTACCTACGGTTTGTTGGTTGTTATCTGATTTGATCGACAGGTGGACAGACTGACTGACTGACTGACTGATGGCTAGCTGGCTGGGTAATTAGCTGGCTAGAATGGCTGGCTGGCTAGCTGAGGGATCCCATCGATGATCAATAATCAATCAATAATAAGCCTGATTGATCATCGACAGACTGATTTTCGCCCCTCTTGGGGCTTCTGTTTTTACTCCCTCATGCGAAATGATTAACCAACCAGATAGCCTACTAGCTAGCTACCTAAGCTAACTAACCCCCACTCCAGCTATTCATTCATTCATTCATTCCTTCATTGCAGTGGATGGTGGTAATCATGACAGTGATCATGATGATGATCAGGAGGAGGAGGAAGATCGGATGATCAGATGATGATGCACATGCCCTTGCACATGCACAGACCCTACTCTACAGAGAGTTGCTGTATGTATGTATGTATGTACAGTGCATACAGACATGCAAAATTAACTAATCAATCGACGTCACCTAAGCCTGGTGGGTACCAACAATCGTCCATTGTCCATCCATCTATATCTGATAGGAGGGATAATAAATATAAGATGCCTGCAGGGAATTATTATTAATTGTGAATTAAATAGTTGAGGGGATAATTCCCAGACTATTAGATGTTTTAATAAATATAGTTCTATTATATAGTGTTATATACTATGCTATGATATACTATTGAATTCTACGAAATCGATAGATCGGAAAATATACCCGACTCGGCAGGTAGGTACTTGTCAATATGTACTGTATGTACTCCATAGGTGATCGATGATAGTATGATGCATACTAATAGTACTACTACTAAATATACTAGTTTTAATAATGTTTATATTAATATTACGTTGCTTTATATGCCCGGAAAAGTGTTAGATTAGTTACGTACAGTACATAACTAGGTTTGCCAGGGTAGGGTACGGTAGAGTAGGGTAAACAGGCAGGGAAGGGAAGCCTTGTGGAATAATATATACAGTGAGATACCACGGTAATATAATTTATTAACGACTCACTAGATAGTGCGAGTAAGTATGTACTCCGGAGATACGGAGATAAAAGGACAGGACATGTGTTAATTAATTAATATACAGGGCTACATGCTAGGCAGGTATCGAGTGATCATCCATGCCTCTTGTAGTTGATTAGTTAATTATTTAGTCTATTAATTAATTAATCTATTACCTTGACTACACGATTGGCTATATCAATCCATCCATTACTCATGACTCGTACGAGGATTGTATTCAGCCTTCACCTGTATTCAGCTCTCACTCAGCAGGCAGCCCCGTTGTAGAGGAAGGGGATAGAATGGAGGAAATGGAGGGGAAGGACTCACTCAAGTGCACTGGTAGCGAGTGTAACCTAGATCCATCATCACGATCCATCGATCCATCCAGAGATCCATGGATAAGCATGGGCCAGAAGGTTGGCAGAAACAAAAAAAATTCTCGAGAGGAAAAAAAAAGAAAACCACGTTCCCTAACATCCCAACGTCCCACCTACATTCCAACTATTAACCTTGGAACTGTGGAACAGCAATGCCACATGGCAAAAAGAAAAGAAAAGAAAAGAAACATTCTAGAACTTGGTCCATGTCCCTAGGTATTCCTATTCCGTAATGTATGGAGTAGTGTGGAATCATGAGATCATCGACTGATCGAACATTCTTCGAATTTAGGCCGAAGAATTCAATAAATGTTTTCCCTACTAACTAGTAAATAATAAATAATACTATCGAGTACCTAGGTAAGGTCCGTACGGTACCTACCGTAGGATATTATTCTTCTCTATGTACTGTACAGTACACATCTAGGTGATGCTTGCGGAGTACGGACATCCCGGAATTCCATGGACGAACTCAACTCGGCGTCTCCCGTCGGGATTTTTTTTTCCCCTCGACTGGAACCAATCATTGCTTGCCTCTCGCTTCTCTCGCTTATTGCTGCCTCTTGAGTGAGTGAGACTGACGCCACGCTGGTTGAATACTGGAAGGATTTGGTTTAGTTTAATTTGATTTGTTGAACTTAGTTAGCTGACTGCACTGTCTGTCTGTACTGTATGTACGTGAGATCTCTTCTGATGAGTAGTAGGTAGGTACTTACCTGAGGTGCTGCAGCTTATAGGCCTCGAAGTAAGGATGACTGTCATAAATTATCTGACTTGTCAGTGGGTATATAATAATATACGTGGCTGTAACTACGTAGGATCAGCTCCATTCCACAATTACCAATTCCTCAGCCGGAGGATTTGTCTAGTCGGTTACATCCTGTAGGTATGTATACTATGCCTGCCTAGGTAGGATTATGCGCATCCAGTACACCCAATCAAGTATCCATGGACGGATTCGCCCAGAGTCTGAAACAATTATTAATATTATTATATTAACCAGTACTATGTTGTAAGTTTGTACTGTACATACATACATACATCCAGACCCATCTACTCTATCTATCTACCTACCTACCTACCTATCAATTCTATGTGAATTGTCTGATTAGATTGAGACTCTGTATATATATGCCACTCTTGGATCCACATGATGGTAATACATAAACTCAGTAGTTTACGTAGATAGGTATATGTCCAGTGAGGCTATCACAGTTGTACAGTACATACAGTACTTACCAAATATAGTCCGTAAGATCGAGTACATGCCTTGACTTACGTCTTATTCATATTTGTCAAGTTACGTCTTTATTCGTTTTCTCAAGCTAGTACTATACATACAGGTATATATATGCTCTCGACTGTATCAAATCAAAGAAATTAGATTCCCTCTTCATTTCTCGAATCCAATTGAGATAAGTAATTAATAAAATGGTTTCCTTAGAAGTTTTCGCTGTCATAGATAGATAGATTATGTATCTACTTTTAATAATAATGAGATCTGAAACTGATAAACAAGAGAAAGACAAGTTTGGTTTTATTTGATCGTGTCGTGTCGAAACGAACTGAAGACAGAGAAAGCCCTGGGAACTATACAAAAGAGAAAGAAAATCTGGAATGGAAGAGAAGAGCGCATTTAATCATAAAAACCCAAAGCTCAATGCTTTTTTTTAAATTTGGAAAGTGAATGAATGGCTATCTTCTCTGCTTCCTCTTGGTCAATCATCAATCAATCAATGAAGTAATCAATGTCTTTAAATTAATCCTCCTCTATGTTGGAGACCGACTGATTGAGATTTTTGGTAAGAAGTATATCTCCGAGTAAGAGATCTATCCCATCTTGAATACGATGAACCTGGTAGATGGAGAAATCGAGAGATCGTGAGATCGTGAGATCATGTTACACTGCATTGCATGCATCGCATCGCATCACATCGCAGTGTTACACACACGCTTTCTATCTCTGCAGGGGAATGAGGTACAGTATATGTGTATATGCTGCGCCAGAGTCCAGTCAGTCAATCAATCAGTCAGTCAGTCAGTGAGTCAGAAGTCCGGAGAGTAGTTTCAGTTACCTGGCTGTTTTGTAGATTGAAGAATATAAACTCAACACGCCTGAATAATATAAGCCTCCGATTTGCTTGAGTTGAATCGGTTAAGTGACGAAGGCTGATGATAACCTACATAGTTACCCAGGGAGGTGTAGTCTTGACGGACAACACTCGCTGGTTCTGTCTGAGGTCACAGCTGGACCAGGTTATTATTCATTGCTAGATATAGAAACTGCTTATCTACCTAGGTATATATCTAATTCTATCTTGTCATTGCTATATATCAAGATCTTCTGCATTGCGTATGTCATCATGCACATCAATGCATTCGTAAATCGTCACTCTTGCTGTATGTGTGTATATATAGTCCAACTTATGCATCCAGATTGAGCTTCTCCAACAGTCGATCCAACTTCTCCAGCAGGATTTTATAGTTGATCGCATCGCTGTCAAACTCGTCCTCGACAATGTCGCCATCCAACGTCCGGATGATCGGCCTGTTCTCCGCCGCCGGCGCAGCCTGCGTCTCGGGAGCAGCTACCTCACCAGCTGGCTTCTCCTCCTTCGGCGCATCGGAGGCCGTCTGGTTCTCCTCCTTCGCTTTCGGATACCAGTTCTTGGGCGCATTCGCCGTCAGCATCTCCACCAGTCCCGTATCGTCGAACCGCAGCCGGAACCGCTCGCCCAGATAGAACCGGATATCATCGAGCAGCTCGATCGTATCCGTCTCTTCTCGCCGCTGGATCCGCGTCGCCGACTCTTTGATCAGCTCGGCAAACTCTGGCCTGTCGATGTGCTCTTCCAACCGGTAGGCCAGATAACGTGCCCCAAACTCTTCCAGTCGCTGCACCCGCGTGAGCCAGGCCGCGCGGATGATCTCGTAGATATCGATCTCCTCCGCCTCCTCGGCTTCCGTTTCAGCCGCGCCCGCGCCTTTGGCTTGTTTCCTGGGTCGGGTTTTCGACGCCTGCGCCTGGGACAGATTCCCGCTACCCAAGCTGCTGATCACCACGGCCGCTTTGTTCTTGAGCTTCTCGATAAAAAGAAGATCGGCTGCGAAAAGCACGTCGACCGCTATATCGAGCGAAAAGTCGGCCTTTTCCGTGTAGAAGTAGGTCAGGATGATTTCCAGAACCTCCGGGGAGCAGTCCACGTGGATAATCTGGAGGTGTTCCGTCACCTGGGCCTCCTTAAAAGTGGAGGAAAACATGGCATTGAAGAACTCGGAGCGCAGGAGCATCGCTCGATGAACCGGATACAGAACTGACTTCTGCTTGCGGCCACCCTTGGTATCCTCTGCTGCCGATGCTCCAGGCCCCACTGGAATCGAGCTCGTCTCGCCATTTTCTTGCGTCTGCGCATCGTTCTGGTCCTCCCCATCTTCAATCACCTCATCCGCCCGGAGCAAGACGTCGGCAAAAATGGCGTTGTTGCGATCCCACTTCACCTCGTTCACCTTGCTGGTCTCGACGACAAGCTTGTTCCCGAGAACATTTTCCCGGAACCACGATTCAAACTGATCGCGACCTCTTGCCACTTCTGCCGTCCTCCTCTGCCTAGTCCGCCTCCGGTCCCCGGTATCCAGGATACTGTCGAGGAGATTGGGGATTTCAAGGTACTTTGCGATTTTATCAACTCCGGCCGCCACTTCGGACTCGGTATACCCAGTGCCAGGGCCGCTCCGAAGCTCCCTCGGCGCCTCGCCGAGGTACAGGTACTTGATAGCAGCACCAAAGGCCTGCGGCGGAATCGTGCTGGGAATCCTCAATGTTGTCGACCCAGGTGACGCAGCTAGCTTCTTTTTGAAGTATGGCGATCGCGCAGCCAGTATAAACTTGTGCAGAAACAGAGATTCCTCGCCGTCTGTCACCACAATATCCCAGGTCTGCGGGTGGTCCCGCGTCAAAAGCGAGGAGATATGGGCCGCAAACGGTTGGAGAGGGTCCGTCGACTTGGAATAATCATACTCCAGCAGCAAATTGCGTATACGATCGTTCAGAGCGTTATATAGGCATCTGCAGAAATCAACCCGCAGCGATTAGCATCATCCCAGCACACAGTCACTCCCTGTACGCACCTTTCACCCTGAAATGTATCCCGTTCACACAAGGCACCCGAGTCGAGAAGAAGCTGGACCACCTCGAAATGTCCGCAGAGGCTGGCCTTCAGGGCTCGTCAGCCAGGCGTCCTGCTTCGGCAGTGGCGTCGAAGTGCCTTACCAAGATCAACGGAGTGTAGTCGAAGGGGTCCCGCGCATTGATGTTGACGCCTTCCGAGATCTTTTCTTGGCAGAGCTTCAGGTCGCCTCGTCGACAGGCATCGCAGAGGGTCCGGAAGCCCTCGCTCAGGTCGAGCGGATTGTCCTCCTTGAGAACCCCCTCATGGATGAGCTTCTTCTCGTTGTGCAGGCTGATCTCGAGCTGGTCTTTGCGAAGAACGGTTTCCGTCATAGCGAAGACGCTCAGTAGCCCCGTGCTGCAGACGCTGCAGAGAGGAGGGCGAGCACGACATGGTCGATCAGAGATAGAGATGTGCGGGGACTCGGGCTCGCGCAACCGGATGCTGCCTTAGCTTATCGATAACGATCACGTGGGCGGCTGCTGGCAAACGGTGGCAGCGACACAACACACCCCGTTGCCACGCAGCAGACACAGGCAAAGGATGGCACAACCCGATTGCTCCTGCAAATACAAACGAGGAATCATGGCTGAAGCTTCTCTACACGCATCTGAACAGCATCTGTGAGAATCCATGTCAACAATATGACATCATCCACAACACGTGCACCGTTGTCCGGGTCCTGGTGTTTCTATCTGCTGATTGGAGGGCTGTGGGTCTGCCACGGCCCCGTTGCTCACCGCCTGCCGCGTCGGGCGGGGAATGCTGGACTGCGTTGCTCAGCAACAGAGCTCCCCCTAAACATCGAGCTGTCGCGACAGAACTTAGTTGTTAGACTCTCATCCATGGATTTATTCTGCCCGGTCCATCCATGCCCACCAGCTGCGTAGCCTCCTTGTTTGTCTCTACTAACAAAGCAGGATTTCAGCACCAGCATTCGTCTTTCATGAGGTGACAACTCCTTCGCTGCTAACGCTCATCGACCGGCTTTGTTCACGACTTCACTTACGTCTCTCCGGTTGATCGATCTGGTGAACTGTCACAATGTCGTCGTCCTCCTCCTCCACTGCGGCGGCAGAGAACGACAAATATGAGGTGCTGGAGAGGATTGGTAAGCCTCTGAAACTCCCACACGACCTTGTCTTTCCTACACAAGCTGACAGCACTCTAGGAAGTGGCTCCTTTGGAGTCATCCGCAAGGTCAAGCGCAAGTCAGATGGATTTGTAAGACACCACACGCTCCAATTGTATACATGTAGCTAATACTGGGTCCAGATTCTCTGCCGGAAGGAAATCAACTACATCAAGATGTCCCAGAAAGAACGGGAACAGCTCACGGCCGAATTCAATATCCTGAGTTCCCTGAGACACCCCAACATCGTCGCCTACTACCACCGAGAACACCTCAAGGCCACGCAAGACCTGTATCTCTACATGGAATACTGCGGGGGCGGTGACCTGGGCATGGTCATCAAGAACCTCAAGGCCACGAACAAATATGCGGAAGAGGAGTTTGTTTGGCGTGTTCTGTCCCAATTGGTGACCGCTCTGTATCGCTGCCACTATGGAGTCGACCCTCCACCTGTGGGATCGAACATCCTGGGACCGGTCCCAAAGCAACAGGGTCTCAAGGGGAAGCAGGCGCAGGTCATGATCTTGCATCGCGATCTCAAGCCGGAAAATAGTCAGTTTCACCAGTGCAGCTACCATCCGCAAAGAACTAGCTAACCTGTTGCCATAGTCTTCCTGGGAAGTGATAACACTGTCAAGCTGGGTGACTTTGGGCTGTCCAAATTGATGCAATCCCACGACTTTGCGTCCACGTATGTCGGCACTCCTTTCTACATGTCTCCCGAGATCTGTGCGGCCGAAAAGTATACCCTGCACTCGGATATCTGGGCCGTGGGTTGCATCATGTATGAGCTTTGCCAGAAGCAGCCACCTTTCAACGCAAAGACCCATATTCAGTTGGTGCAGAAGATCCGGGAGGGCAAGTTCGCACCACTGCCAGACTTCTACTCCTCCGAGTTGAAGAACGTCATTGCAAGCTGCCTACGTGTCAACCCTGAGCACCGCCCGGACACGGCTGCCCTGCTGAATCTTCCTATCATTCGATTGATGCGAAAGGAGAGGGAGCTTCTCGATCAAGAGAAGAATTTGAAGAAACGTGAAGAGGCAGTGACCCAAAAGGCGAAGGAACTGGAGCAGAAGTTGGCCAATTTCGAAAAGGAAAAGGCTGAAGCCCGAAATGAGATCGAGAACACCGTTCGCCGAGAATGGGAAGTTAAGGCGCGGCTGGAAATTGATCGTCAAGTTCAGATGGAACTTGACAGGCTTCGCAAGCGATTCGAACTGGAGGTACAAGAAAGAGTTGCCGCGGAGTTGGAGAAACTGAACAAGAACGCTGGCATCCAGCAAAATCAGGACTATGCCTCTATGGTTCCTCAGCATGGAGCCTCAGCGTCTTCAGCCAGTGCCGGCGAGGACTCGGATTTCCCCTCGACCACTGATTTGAGTGAACTATCCTTGGATTCGCCTTCCTCCAACAAGAATAAGCCCGGCAAGAAAGAGACCCGGACTCCTTTCAGTCGTGCCAAGACCGCGATCGACTCGCCGGTTGATGTCCAGATGGCCGAACCCTCCCCGATCTCGATAGCGTCCCTATCTCTGTCTCCGCGTCGTACTGGCACGCTCTCTTCTGCTTCTAAGAACATCTTCGCGGAGGAAAGGCCGAAATGGGAGCCGACGATGGCGTGCTCGGATGATGACGAGGATATTCCTGATCTGCCATCGCCTACTCGGCCCAAAGTGAAGCCTGATCCCTTCAAGGCCCCCAGACGTCCTCTGCTTCGGCAGAATACCGCGGCGATGATGCAGAAATTAAGCAACCAGCCTTCGCTCTTTCCAACGGGAACCTCCCGGCTTCCTCATCCGGGCTCGATGAACTCAGGGCCGTCCCAGCCTGAAGGGCGTCAAGCCGTTGGCGAGACAAAGCCCAGGTCGCCCAACCGGCGGTTGTCCAAGATCCCATCCTCGACCAACCTTGCTGCCGATGCAAACTCCCCCACGCGGAAAAATGGAACCAAGCAGCTTAGCTCTAAAGCCAATGGTGGTGGTGAAGAAATGTTCAAGGCTGTTATGCAACGCAATATGGGAGGTCGCACCCTGGTCGAACTTGCCCAGGCCAGGGCTGGTGGTCGTCCCATCGATGATACGAAACGCATTTCGAGTGATTCGAATGTTAACGCTGGAGGTCGCCCCTCGAATGCCAGCGACCGAGACCCTCCTGCTACCTGGGATCCCGAGACGGAGGAAATGCCCAGCCCTTTCCTAACTCGAGGCAACAAGGTCATCCGGAATTTGAGATAGGAGAGACATTGTCTATCCACGATCCTTACGCAGGTGAGAGATTGCCTCGACAGGTGTGGATACGTTCACTGGCGATCCCATGTTCCGGACCAAGTCTTATCGAGCCCAGTGACTTCCGTGTCCCATGATTTGACGGATTTCCTTAATGTTTGCTTTGTTCAGCATTTGCTTGACATTCTGGTGTTCTGGTTGGATAAGTCATGTTCAAGGGTGGCGGTGTCGCATTACTCGGCGTGAAGGGTTTGGTTTTCTTGAGGTTTTGTTAACGACATCATTCGCTCCTTTCGGTTGATTCTCCCTTTTTTTTTCTTTTGTCTTTTGTCTTTTTGTTGAAACTGCACTTTGGGCTGCCAGATTCAATATGGCATTAGTTCTGTACAGCTTATTTCCAGGACCCACAGAACTTGACCCCGTCCCTCCCCCCGGAGAGCAATCTGGAAAGAGGGCAATCTCCCACCCCGCTCATTCTATCTTTCCTTTGAAATATGGCTTTGTGATTTGAATATGTTCGATTAGACATTGGCGCAGATCTGGCAGTTTTGTGTGGGTCGGCTGTATGCTAGATGTGGAGTACATATCTATCTATGCCATTATCCTTTTAATCTGTGTCGACAGTAAAAAGATTCAACTTTTTATCTCCTTGTAGCAAAAGTACGGCGCCTCATCTACTGGCGAATGGTCCGTAATTCTGGTTGAAAGTGAGGAGAGAAG